CGTCATAGTGGAAACGCGCTTGATTCATGCTCGTACTAGATCTTTCATAAGAAATGATTGAGTAAGCGAATCTAGTTAATTTCTATGCTTAATATGTTCCTGATCAAACTCAGTCTACACCATATGCATTTGAGTCTACGCCTTTTTCGTTTATTACAATGGGAACCCGCTTAAATAGTTGATTTCATGGAGAACTAGTAATCCATGACGGTTGGCTCGGGTATCAAACTGCAAAACTAGTTTTGCTCCAAAATCAGGTATTCAGGCGAATCCACTGTAAACTATTTCAAAAGCCACTTACAAAAAGAGTTTCCATATTTACCCACTTTGCTCATTTGAGGTTGACTATATAAGTTTATTTGGATAAAGATTGACAACACTTTTCAGCCTTTAATAAAGAATTATTATCTGTTCCAAACTAACTCGAAAAAAATTTTGTTGTAGTTCTTATTCACACTTCCCATTTCATGAAGTAAAGCTAGAAGAAGTTAATGTCCATTTTGCCAATTGAGTTCTACTTAAATTGCGTATTTGTTCACTCACCTACTTTCCCATTTTCAACCAACTACAAACATAAATCCTCGTCGTAAGAACGACTCTAGCCTTCCCTCTTTCTCTCTCCTCCCCCCTTCAAAAATTATTTATTCAAACAGCAATTTCTAGAATGTCTTCTTTTAGGAAGCAGAAGGAGCACCAGCGCCAGCGCTCGAAGATGTGGATGGGTTTAAGGAGCGACTTGACAAGCAACCACTCGCTGTCAATTAGTTCAACTTCAACGATAACTCATAGACTCAGAGATTTTACGTAGATTACTGGTCGTACTCGATCAGTGCGCTCATTCTAGGCATGCGCAGCTAATTGTGTGGCACTGCCAAAGATTTTCTTCCTTTCTCCTTTATATTCCTAGAGCGCTTGTGTGAGTTGAAGAAACTCCCTGTCCCCGCCGTCATCGTTGTCGAGTTTTCTCAGAAGAAGAAGCTTTCAGTAAAATAGCCAGCGATTGCCTTATATGATATCGTAGACGATTCCAAACAAGAATTCAGTCCAGTCATTTACATTAGTATCGAATGTTTTTATTTGAGAATTTCTGATTTTATCTACCAGTGCCGATTGTGATGTGTTACCTTGTTTAGCGGATTGTAACAAACATAACGAGATTTTTTAACCTCATTAGGGAAAAGTACGAATAGTATCGCACATATTCTGTGTTTGTGTATTTAAATTTGAGCTTATTATGTACACGTCTTCATTCATTCCGTTTTTATTGTCGAATTCACGAGCCTTCAGTGCTTCACTGGTTCAAAACTTCTCTTAATTGTCAGATTCAATGTTTATCTATGTTGATTTGATCCACATATGATATATGCAATAATAAATAAAAACATGATAGGAGCACAACCCATAAAATGATTTAAATGTCAAAATGCGAGGGTGTTAACACACCTTATGGCATATTTGGAGTCTCAGAGACATATTTCCCATATATGGACCAGTTCTTGAAGATTATACAGCGTCCAATATTCGCCTTTTTTTTGAGAAGATGTTATTTTCATGGTCACGAAACTACAAAAAAAAAACGCTCCCAATCTTGTCGAATTGGACCATAGATAAACTGGGTCATAGATAGAGAAATACACAAAAAATGGTAAATTGATATAACCAGTATTTGACCAAACTATATAGATATGCAGAAATAAGCCCTACGACAATCACAGAAAGTCTTGCAATCGCAAAACCTACGCACGTCCACCACCAAATCGTTTCTTCCAATTCTGCTTTCGACGCATTTTTCGCTTCTGCTCAGCTGACACTTTACCTCTCGAGTAGGATTTCTTCTTCATATTGATTCGTACAAAGTTTCCTTCTACCTTCTTCTTCTTTAGGCCCGCGCTCGGGGCGGATCTAGAAAAAAAAATGATCTATAGTTACAAAAAGCTTCGAGAACATTTTCACCTCTCAATCTCCACAAAGTTGGAAGGACAAAATCAAGGTAGGTTTTGACTAATGTATTTTTTTCCAAATATGACTAGATACATCAAAGTTAAACATCATTTTTAGTGAAGTTACGTATAAACATACTAGCATCGCTAAGAACTGTTATTTCCAAACTCTCGACTACCTTTCTGACTGAGATGCAATCGAGCTTTCACAAATAAAAAGAGAAGAAAACCGCTACTACAGCAAGTTAGTGAAAGTGAAACAGCAGAATGGAAATTTAAAGTCAATCTAATGCATAGATATCGAGCGAAATCTAACCTTTTGAATGCTCTTTTTATCACCTTTCCAGATACTGGATCAAAAGCCGCTGCTACATCCTTCTTTGCTCTGAAAGTAACTTGTTTTCGTAAAAAGTGATATTAATCTAAAGCGGCAGAAAGAACAGTATGTTCTAGTCGAAAATAGAAGAAGAATGATTGGTTGAACTTACACGCCAGCCAAATTCTTCTTTGAAGGCCCTTCCTCTGGCTCAAATGGCTTTAACTCTTCCACTCTTGATCTTTTTTCTGGGGTAGGTAACAGAAGGCATTCGACATTCTAGAATTTCTTTATCATAAGATTCTCAAGCGCCCGAAAAGCCTTCTTACTTTAAGCAAAACCTCCTTGTGGATAAGTGGCTTTCTCGGTGAGCGTATAGGCGTGCCTGACGTAGCTGGAGACTTCAGCGCCTTCTGAGGGCTAAGCTCACCCCAAACAGCGCATTTTCCTATAGAAAATTTACGTTAAAAGAGCAGTGCTTAGGTGATTTATAAGAATAGTGTGGGTTTAAATAAAAGTGGACTGAATTTGGGTTCAAAAAAATATACCTTTTTCTGGAGTGTCGAACAGAGAAGAAAATTCGGAAATTGCCTAGAAATACTATACTTTCAATCTTGAACTGAAGCTTATGTTACTTCGCATTTATTTGAAGTCTTCAACTACTGATTCCCCAAATTCCCCTACCCTCTTCCCCATTTTTTAACACACAGATTTTGTAAATGAGCAAAAATGATTTCGATTGGTTTACATTCACAAAAGCTCCCAATCTCATTTGATCGGCGGAGCTAATCCTATTGAAGAAGAGTCCATTCTCTATTTGATGCGTCAAAGAACGACGCAGAGGAATATGGGAAAAAAGAAATGGTCAAGAAGATCAAGCGCTAATCATTACCTGTAATTTCTTGATTGGGGAGCCGCACTTCCCAGATTTCGGCTGCACTACATTGTTTGAAGTAGTTTGAATTTCCTTAAAAGCCGCTAACGCTCGCCCTGGTTTAGATGACGTCTTGGATGAAGGAGAGCTTGGCTAAAAGGTTATTCTCCTTCACATCACTACTGCATTGGAGTAATATGAATATAATAACCTACTGGTGACAGCTCACAATAATTTAGTGTTTGTAAACTTTTCCTAGGGCTTGATCGAGTTCCAGGTATCTGATCTCTAAAGAGACGCCGCACTTTTGACGGTCTCTGTTTCAAAGGGCTCTCATCTTCCAAAGGTCTCTTGAGACGAACTCCACCTCTTCTTTTAGTTGCAGCTTCCTCTGCAGGCGTGGGCGTTGGTGGGTGTTCAGCAAGATATTCTTCTGGAAAAATTTTGTGACATAGTGAATTGGGATCTTTTACAATGATGATGTTTTTGCTGTGATCATTGAAATCAGAATAGCATGACGTAATTGCACAACAAACATTAGGTTCAAAAATTATCCTATCATCAGCAGGAAAGGTGTAAAATAAGCATAACTTGGCTATTACATTCAATTATGTACGCATTTTGACATCATTGTGTGATGCACACTTGAACCAAGATGAAATCAAATTCATTTTATTCGAAAAAACTAAATACTATGCTACTATCTTTTTGGCAAAAGGAAAAGAGAAAATTTGGAAATTTCCATCTTCCAACATCTAGGTCTTTTTTCCTTATTTTACTCTTTCAAACAAATTGTCAACCTTTACTTTGAATATATTACGGTGCGATTTCAAAATAAATACTTGAGTCTCACATGTATCAACTCAGAAGACCACCAACACGTAAATCATATTGAACCCACGCAATCCCAAAAAAGTTCAGTTACGTAGAATGAAAGTGCAGATGATTTTCTACAACAGCAATTTTCATTTTCGCTTTCAAATTGCCCATTTCCTATTCGTGAAGCATTACAAATTAGATAGTCTGCATAGATAGAATGACGTAATGCTAAGACTTGAATGAACGAAGAAGTATATTTAGCAGCTGACGTATAGTAAGACAATTAGCATATATCATATGGAATGTATAATTTCATTTTTCTGAAATTACTTGCATTCGAAAGCTATAAAAGGCTTTATAGAAAGTTTTAAAAGTTAAAACTTCCAAAAACTGAAGGGACTATCAAGCCTAGAACTCTTTTTTCAAAGATAGCGAGGCTGACTTAAAAATTCTTACGGAAAGCAGAGAAGATAAAGGAAAACCCCTATGGGATAAATCATATCAAAATCGCGAAAACAAGCCGAAAAATACTGCAAATTAAGAGGCATGAATTTTGGATTGATAACTCGACTTTTACTACGAACACTTCTTTTTTGATAATAAATGGTCCTACAGCTTGCCATAATTCTTTCCATTTTGAACATCTCACGTCAAAATTGCTCAAATTAGTCCTCCAGTCCAAAATTACATTACTATATCACTACCGAGCATCCTTCATTGTGATGGTTACGTAAAAAGAAGTCATGATGTCTGTTTTTATCATTCAATCTTTAGACAATAAAACAAAGAGAAGCGATTTTCGTGAATTCTACCCTTTCCCTTCCTTTGGACCTTCTTTTATTCACTCTTGCTATGTTTTTGCGGTCTCTACGAAAGCATACGTCATTCATTCATAAATAAAAAGCCAGTGGATCCCGAAATGGCTTTATTTACATGACGAAGACTCTAAATCGGATAATGCCTAAAAAGATGGTGTGGGAGGGTCAACAACGAAGGCTGTGTACCAGTTTTAGAACACAAAAAGTATTGTTTGCAGGGGAGAGATATTTTGGGCACAGCATTGCATGGGAAAGAAGTTGGGGTGGAAACAAAGAGAAAGAGAAGGAAAATGGTCAAGCAGTTATTGTCTAATCATCCCCGAAGGCAGTTGTTTCACTGAAGTTTCATCACTCAACGGTGTCTCAATTCCTAAGACAATATAGAGGAATTTCGCCAATACGGCTTGATCATTGAATGCAAAATGTAACTGATCAAGTGAAG